GTAAGTAAACCTTTACGATAACAATAAATTAAACATAATGGCCAAGTTACTTTAAGTATTCCAATTGATAATTTAAGCTAAATAAATTGATTTGAGTAAAAATTTATAATTCAAAACAAACATTTAAAAAACTTACAGCAAAGAAAACATTATCACTTAGAGTTTCTGCAGTATTTTTCGTATAAAGATGAGCAGGCTAGAAAAGAAAAATAAATATAGTTTTGTTTTTTTTTTTGTTTTGTTTTTTAGTCAATAGAAAATTGTAACATACTTGTTGATCATTTCGACCAGGTGGCAAAATAACAGATGGATAAGTTTGATATAATCTTGGACCGAATATACATCGCCAAAAGAAAACTAGTTGATTTTTCATGAGTAATAATTTCAATAAAACGTAGGAACAAATAAAAATAAAATGACTGTTTTTTTTTCTCTATGTTGACATTTAGTATGGCAAGTAGAACAATCGAAAAAGAATATCAAAGATGTCGCTAGAAATCCGAATATATATATATTCAGTTGATTGATCCACAATATTTTCTCGTAAGCAATGAAAATTTTAGCGTTAGCGTGCTTCACTATATAGAAAACGAAAAAACTTCATAGGTTTTGCAAAAGACAATAAGAGCACAAATCGTTGAGTTTTTTGTTACGCTAATAGACTTTGTATATATAGACAAAATATGACGACGAACACAACGGAACATTAGAAAAAAAAACGGTATTTTTGATCGTCTGTCGGTGTATTTCAATTGCTTGTTAAGATAATCTTATCATATTTGACGCCTTACATCAGTTGGTATTGGCTGATTCAAGAGGAGATGTTTTTTAATCGTAGTGAATTCTTAGATATATTCAACTTTGCCTTTAAATATCGTTTTATAGGTTGAAATTATTTTTTTGTAGGTCACATCCACTGCTCTGATAGGTACGGCGAAGAACATTATTATGAATTAGAAAAAACCGAACATGATTCATTGATTGAATAGTGATGTCAAAATAGTCATTGTATTACACAAGAATTCTTCTTGAATCGGACATTCCATTAGTCTAAATGAAAGCGATTAAATCAATCTTTGCATCGAACTCCATTATATCAATATGAATGATTATAACATAATAGATAAGTTCTCATTGTTTGTCACAACAACTTTTGACGAACGAAATTTCTAGATGAGTATTCATTTCGCGAATGCAATTACTTTTTTTTTCAAATATTTATACTCTGCAAAAAAAGAGAGCCATATCATACTTCAATCATCACAATGATAATGAAATAACATAGATTTGTCTTTCACTATTACGTTCGTACACACCACAATTACTTTTTCCTCTTTCCTTGCAATGGAAAAAATCATAACTTCTCTTTCTCATAAATTGATAACAATATCGAATGAAAGTCATGTTTTCCAGCAATAATCTAAACTGAATCCAAAATATTTTCGTACGTTTGACGTAATTGTAATTAGAAAAAGAACTCTTTTGAAAAAATATTTGATATTCCGAAATGGTGTTATTGTATATTCACGGAACAATGGGTCAATATCAATTCGAAACTATTAATTTAACTTAAAATTTTATTTTAAGTTTACTTGAATAAACGAAGACAAACACTTTGAAAATAATACTAAAAATCTCACAATTCAATTCACTATCGAATCATTTATTTACACTAATTGTATCTAACACGTAGGCCATCAATCATTACAATAATCATTTTAATCAATTCAGAAGATATCAAAAAAGCTCTCTTATATATTACTCAGACACATCTAAAACAAACAATATGTTTTTTTAATACCCTTCTCATGAGTTATACATCAACTTGTTCGCAATTTGGGTATTTGTTTCTTGAATTCTCTATGAAAAACTTTTAGATAAAGTGAAACATTTAACTGAAACAGAAATTGAAAAAATTTGAGAAACAAATGTGTGCAAATCTGAACTTTATTCAAAATACTCTGGATGTGGATTACAATCTTCTGCCAATATCTTTCAAATTATCTACGTGCGTATGGTCCATGTCGAAAGAACTCAATCTAACAGAACATTGAAAGCCGTAGGATTGTTGAAGTAGTTGTACTGACGCCTTTGTTTGGTCTTCTGATCCCTCTCGTTTACA